CACAACTGATTTTTTTCGGCTACACCCGGCTACGCTGCTTCGCTTTTTCTTCTTCTTCTTGTTAACTACTGGTGGATGGCTTTGGTTGCAGTACCGCCACCTTCTGCTCTGCAGTGTACACGCTTCGCCTATGAGAAAAAGGAGCAGCGCATAAACCGAACGAAACACACGCAAACCGAACCGAGACAGTCGAACCGAACGGTTCGGACGGTTTTCATACACCGTTTCATCCCTAGCCAACGCTCATTTAAAGTCTGTTATAATATAGTCAAAATCTATCTATCATTTAATATTTTACTCTATATAAAATAATACATCCATTTACAAGATATAATATAATTAAATGTTTTAAAAATTTATTGTATCCACCATAACGGTAACACAAAAAACATGGCCTTTTTTCTGAAGTTTTATATATATACACTACCGTTCAAAAGTTTGGGGTCACCCAAACAATTTTGTGTTTTTCCCAAAAGTCACACTTATACCATCATACGTTGCAAAATGAATAGAAAATAGAGTCAAGACATTGACAAGGTTAGAAATAATGATTTGTATTTGAAATAAGATTTTTTTTTTTTCATCAAACTTTGCTTTTGTCAAAGAATCCTCCATTTGCAGCAATTACAGCATTGCAGACCTTTGTAATTCTAGCTGTTAATTTGTTGAGGTAATCTGGAGAAATTGCACCCCACGCTTCCAGAAGCAGCTCCCACAAGTTGGATTGGTTGGATGGGCACTTCTTGCATACCATACGGTCAAGCTGCTCCCACAACAGCTCATGGGGTTCAGATCTGGGGACTGCGCTGGCCATTCCATTACCAGCTGTCCGCTTCTGCTCTAAACAGTTCTTGCACAATTTGGAGGTGTTTCTAGGGGTCATTGTCCTGTTGTAGGATGGCTCCAATCAAGCGCTGTCCACTGGGTATGGCATGGTGTTGCAAAATGGAGTGATAGCCTTCCTTATTCAGAATCCCTTTTACCCTGTACAAATCTCCCACCTTACCAGCACCAAAGCAACCCCAGACCATCACATTACCTCCACCATGCTTAACAGATTTCGTCAGGCATTCTTCCAGCATCTTTTCATTTTTTCTGCATCTCACAAACGTTCTTCTTTGTGATCCAAACACCTCAAACTTGGATTCATCCGTCCACAACACTTTTTTCCAGTCTTCCTCTGTCCAATGTCTGTGTTCTTTTGCCCATCTTAATCTTTTTCTTTTATTGGCCAGTCTCAGATATGGCTTTTGCTTTGTCACTCTGCCCTGAAGCCCAGAATCCTGCAGCCGCCTCTTCACTGTAGATGTTGACACTGGTGTTTTGCAGGTACTATTTAATGAAGATGCCAGTTGGGGACCTGTGAGGCGTCTATTTCTCAAACTAGAGACTCTAATGTACTTATCTTCTTGCTCAGTTGTGCAACGCGGCCTCCCACTTCTTTTTCTACTCTGGTTAGAGCCTGTTTGTGCTGTCCTCTGAAGGGAGTAGTACACACCGTTATAGGAAATCTTCAATTTCTTAGCAATTTCTCGCATGGAATAGCCTTCATTTCTAAGAACAAGAATAGACTGTCCAGTTTCAGATGAACGTTCTCTTTTTCTGGCCATTTTGAGCGTTTAATTCATCCCACAAATGTGATGCTCCAGAAACTCAATCTGCTCAAAGGAACCTTCCTTTGAGCAGTTTTGTAGCTTCTGTAACGAGCTTACAGTAACTGTTTTCAGATGTGTGAACATGATTACACAAGGGTTTTCTAATCATCAATTAGCCTTCTGAGCCAATTAGAACACTGGAGTGATAGTTGCTGGAAATGGGCCTCTATACACCTATGTAGATATTGAACCAAAAACCAGACATTTGCAGCTAGAATAGTTATTTACCACATTAGCAATGTATAGTGTATTTCTTTAAAATTAAGACCAGTTTAAAGTTATCTTCACTGAAAAGTACAGTGCTTTTCCTTCAAAAATAAGGACTTTTCAATGTGACCCCAAACTTTTGAAAGGTAGTGTGTGTGTATATATATATATATATATATATATATATATATATATATATATATATATATATATATATATATATATATATATATATATATATATATATATATATATATATATATATAATGGTAGACCAACCGGACATTGCGGTGGTGGACAGAGAGGGGAGAAAAGCCATTGTGGTTGATGTAGCAATACCAAGTGACTGCAACACCAAGAAAAAGAAACATGAAAAACTAGAGAAATACCAGGGGCTCAGAGAAGAGCTGGAGAAAACCTGGAGGGTATTTTGGTGTGTTTTCTATTTTGGTCTTTACAATACCAGAATTTGCCCAGAGTTTTTGTTTTTTTTATAGAATTTTTACAATTGTTTTCGTTATTTATTTAGTTGTTTCCCCATATATTAATTTTTGAAACCACTCAAGGTACGTCTTTCTTCTGGTTAAAATGAAAGAAAGGCATATCAGTATAGAAAAATTGGGCATTATTCTACAGTGATTACAGTAATTAAACACGTAATAAAAAGAATGTGACCCAAAATTTCTTTGTTAAAATCTGACTGGCCAAGGCATCAAGAAGTAATTATAAAAAGGATGTCCGGATAATTCAATGTAAGAAGTAAATTATCGACAGTTTAGGTGGACGGCAGGTTGCACAACAAATATTGCTGCCTGGAACAGATCTGTAAAAAAACACAGACAGCTGGGCTGGTCTGATTGCACAGCCTGGAGTGGGAAACAGGAATCCTAGATAAGAATAGTTACAGTGTTCAATGTCTGGTGTCATTCGCATGAAATCATCATCTAGGTGTCGAAGTTCCAGTAGGGTTTGGAGATTATAAATTAAAAGTATAGTGGATGATGTTCTTTTTCAGGGTGGATAATCAAAATGTCAATCATTCTGGTGATATGTTTATGTAAGTCCATCCTACGTGCTCATCCCCATTTTCACTTAATGGTGGTGAATCTGACGTAGTGTAAAAATTGCAAATTTTATTTCGCAAAGTAAGCTTCATGAGATATGCAAACAACAACTTTTAAACAGAGCTTGCACAAGAAGAAATGGGCTTGTGCATGGTCATGCATGTGTTTAATGTGCTTTCCCTCCTGGGAGCGGGTACAGGGTTGTGCCTGTGCATATTTTTTTTTAAGTGGAGAGGGTGGGTTTGCAAAAATCCTCCACTATAACATTAAGAGAGATGAATGTGCCACCAAAATCACTAGAAACAACACAAATAGGCAGAGTAGAGGCAGAAGCACAGCAAAAAGGTGAGCCACACATAATGATAGCGTCATGAAACAACCGACCAAATTCAACAATATAAACAGCAATATGTGATTGCTATGAAAATGGTAATTGCAGTAATCACTACAAGCAAGATAATCATTTGTAAAAAGTATTTTCCTATCGGACAATATGAAATAAGTGAAACACCTGTTTCGGTCTGCACTCTTGTCCGAGTTTAATCTTTGGCCCGACTGCTGTTTGCTTCCCCAAAAACATCTGAGCTAGCTCCTTCACCTGGAAAACAATCAGTGTTTAGTGAAATATGCATGTGAGAGTCAGTTTTTTTTCCACAGAACACACAGCAAATAACCTTTCGGACCTTATTCCCGGTGGAAACGACATGCTTGGCTGTTTCAGATGCTGCAAAGGACAGCAAAAAAAATTACATAATTTATTTCATCACTTAGAAGCCGTCCTGGTGTGAATAAAACTAATACTTACATGGAGGTGCATCCTTTTTCTGTGAATCCTTTGATGCTGTTATGTCAGAAGTAATTTCTGTAGCACTCTGTACACAAAAGAGAAATGTCATTAGGTAAATTATCTATACTATTAACAATGGAGTTGATTTACATAGAGCAGGATAATGCGAGAGCGATGACTGAGATCACTGATATGGGACCTAAGACAGTTATTCCCATCCTTCAACTTTCCATTAGGCCAAGCCTTGAGCCTCATTGTTACCAAAGACATCACTTATCAAAATAATGTCATTTATTTAGTTCCCTGATGCAGCAAAAAAAGTGTTACCTCCATTGTACTTAAAATTTGGGACTGCAAATTATTGTTTGCTTAGATAAAACAGGTACACATTAAGACTTGCCAGGTTTGTTTGTATTGTTTAGACTGCTCTCAAATTCAGTGGTTGTCATTCAATATAACTGCACTTAATATAACTGAGTCAATACAACAGAACCTGAATCCCCTGGATTGGAGTAAAAGATTGAAGCCACTTCAACATGGGGACTGAATCTACAGTTGACTATAAATACAGATAAATGGATTGATTTATACAGCGATTTTCTACCCCCCCTGCACACAGATTCATTAACTGGTATTCAAATTGGTGACCTAGAGTTAGGTGACTTACCTAAGGGGAGTATATACTGAAACAATTAAGCTACGCTAATTAGTTAATTACATTGATTGCTTTCAATTGAATAATAAAAATAAAAACAAACACTACTAACCAAGAAAATTAACAAAAAACATAGTTTAATACTTATTTTTTATTAAAAAGACAACTCACACATACTAGTTCTACAACATAAACCTGAGTGTTGTAAAAACACCAGCATAAAACAATACAATATAGAGGCTGACAGGCAGTTCTTCAAGAATGAATACATGAAAGCTCAGCGGTATGTAAGCATTCACTGTGACTCTGGGTGGCATGTGGGCAATTGAATGTAATAATGTAAACAGATGCAAAGCACTGCAACATATTTTTCAAAATATTCAAACAGATATTTGCCAAATATAAGAGGAACATCGTACTTTGGTTTGAAGAAAGCACTTTAATTTTATTATAATTTAGGATTTTACAGTTTGAAGAAATAGAAGACTACACCATATGCCATCCGTCACAAGGTTGTGCATGAGAAGGAAGGGCTATATATACTCTATGCATCAATTAGGTAGTTCACATTGTATTACTTCTTCAGCTCCTTGAGTTATTTACTGTCCCAGGTGCTTCAGCTCCAGAGTAAGTGTTGGGGCCGGTATGATTTAAGGAGGGCTGTCCCTTGTACGCTGAAATTAGGACCGGCCCACCGGGCAAATGCCCAGTATTACAGATTACCAGTCCGAGCCTGCTAACTGGAGGGTGGGTATTGAGGTTAGACAATATGTCAAAATTTTCCAATCGATTTTCATCAGTCTTTTTTTAAATGAGGATGGACGATATTTCCATGCAGTTGACTTTGTGGCAAATACAAGTACACAACGTCTGCTGCACGGCTGGTAATATGGTTAACCACCCACACTTCTAAAACCTAATAAGGTAAACGTGCTAGTTTTCTTGACAAAAATTTACATGTTGCGTCTGGTGGCAATAGTTTCCTCTTTTCCAGTTGCCCTGAGTTTCTTTATCGTTGTTCATTTGTTTATCTGATTGCACAAAATCAAACAGACTGCAAACGGGTCAGAATGCAGTGCATCACTAGATAAAGATAAGATAAGGTATAAGGTACTTTGATAAGATAGATAGAAAATTTTGAACCAATCTGACTGTATGATCTGGTTGAATTGTCTCTGTAAAGTGCATTGCGATGATATTTGTTGTGAATTGGCGCTATATAAACAAAATGAATAAAAGAAACAATATGGAATTGATGAATGAAAACATGGTGGGCAACCAGCTGCACGACCTGGTGTGCCTAAAGTGATTGGACATGTGAAAAATTAAAAAACGATGGAGAGGTTGTGGCACAATTACATTTGTGTTCAATAAAAAATCTTATTAAATTAAAATCCAAAGCAGCAGGTCAGGTTTCAAAGAAAATTAGTGGTACATACCTTTAAAATAACCAACACTGAATCTTTGACACTGTCTTTATATGCACAGTTTGAAATAAAAAAAAAAGCCTCCATATATAGGACATTAATATTGATATAAACAGACTGAGGAAACTGAAGAATATAGTATATACCTCCTCCTTCCTGTCTTCCACCTTCAGTTGAACTCTTGTTTCCTGGGTTGGGACGATAGGGGGTCTTTGAGCCCGAAGCTGCACCTTACAGATTTAAAACAATTGTGTTAATATTAAAGAGAAGGAAACCCTTAAAGACAAAA